GGGCTCTGTGCTGACAGCTCAGAGCCTGGAGCCTGCTTCAAATTCTGTGTCTCCTCCTCTCTCTGCCCCTCCCATGCTCATGCTCTGTCTCGCTCTGTCTCTCAATAATAAATAAACGTTAAAACAAAAATTTAAAAATCAACCTCCACCTGAACGGAGCCGTTAGCGCAGGGCAAATGCAAACCACGATGAGATATCACAACACACCAGCAGACTGGCTAAAATAACAGATCTTGACAACCCCGATTTGTCAACAAATCTTGACACGGGTGCAGAGGTACACTCAGACATTGTGGTAAGAATGTAAAAATATTACAGCCACTCTGGAAAACAGACACTGGCAGTTTCTTATAAAACAAAATGTGCAATTACCATACGAGCCAGTAATTGCATTCCTGGGCACTTACCCCAGAGAAATGAAGCTGTATTACACACACACACCTATAGGAATGTTTTTAGTAGCTTTATTTTTAATAGCCAACATCTGGAAACAACCCTGTAATAGACAGAATACGGGCAACCCAAAGATGTCAGGGTTCTAATCCCCGGAACCTGTGAATACGTTACCTTATGTGGCAAAAGGACGGTGATTAAATGAAAACTCCTGAGCGGGGAGATTATCCCAGAGTGCACACATAAGAGCGGCCGCAATGCTCTGTAGTTCCTCCTATGAAGAAACGAAGTCAGGCTGTACTAGCCTATCACTTGGGCTGTGTGACCCAGCAAACCCCATCGAGCTAGTTTGCTGGTAAGATTAAAATGCGGTAAGGAGGTAAAGAGTCTCTGCTCTGTCCTAATTACAGAGAGACAGTATAGACTCCCACAGTACTGGAACGAGACCATACTGTCTGCAGCAAAGAAATTGTGAAATTGCACATTCTTTGAAAAGCAACTCCCGGCACGCCACCGCACCCTAGAAAGAAACTAACGGCCAGACCATGGGACATGAAGTGACTGAGAGTCCCATGCCTCCTCTCATAATGTAGATATTTAGCCAGACTCACCAAGGCATAAACTCCGCCAGACAAAGCAATTCATCATTCAATGAACATGATATATGTGGAGTTGGGTCATGATAGGTCTTGAAGACAACAAGTAAATTGCACAAAAGCAATGGCCTAGACCTTCATATCACCTACTTGTATTGAATTAAAGCTTCTCTCTCAGTTCATACCCATAGCTTTATAAGGGGTGTCCTATCACCAGCTGATGAAAGAGTAAAACCCTAGGCCTCGTTCACAGATGGGCTCAAAATCTTGGTGCTGGCTGAAAACAGACCGCTGTTGCACTAGAACCTCATTCAGGAGTGGCCCTGAATGGCAGTGACGAGGAGAAATCCTGTGCATAGGGCTTCAAATAGTGCACTTGGTCATCAGCTTGCTGCAAAAGGAGAAGTGGCCCGAATAAGAATATAAATGGGCCCCTGAACAACGATGAATGGCTTGTCTGGTTGGTCAGGGGCTTAGAAAGGCCAAAATTCCACAATTTGGGAAAGATGTACCTGGATGCACCTGTGGCAGTGGAAACCACTGAGCCCACCAGTGAGTATCCACTGCCAGGGAGCCACTCATCGGCCAAGTGGATAAGATGACGCCTCCGCTGGAGATCGGCTAACACTTGCCCTTGTCAACCTCCATGCTTGCACTGTGTCCAATAACAGAGTATTTGTGTTGGCAAGATTGGAGAATATTCGTCCACCCAATAAAACAACATGGGGTTCCTCTTACCAAAGCCAATGTAGCTACTACTGCTGCTGGATGTCCAACCTGTCAGCATCAAAGGTCAATGCCAACCCTTGAAATTCAATTTCAGCCTTAAGATTTGCTACATCCCTAAAGGAGACCAAGCAGCTATTTGGTAGCATGATTATTATATCCATGTATTTGCACCCTGGAGGGCTAGCGGTTCGCCCTTTCAAGACTCTGTGGGGCAGTATGTGAGGGGGGATCCCATGATGATAACTCAGATGCTCCATGAGTCACTGACAGTGTGCTGAACAGGCATTCTAGGCAGACAACGCTTTCCAGCTTTCCGATACTTAAATACTTTTCTGACAACGGTAGTGGTAATATAAGTAATTGTGATTTTTGATATTGTGTCATGAAATGTGTCAACAGCGAACCAATATTTTCCGACGATTTTACAAAATTATGGTTGAAAGATCCATTCGAAGTGAAAGACCATTTGATCTTTTCTTAAATTTTTTTTCACGTTTATTTTTCGAGAGAGAGAGGGAGACAGAGCGTGAGAGGGAGAGGGGCAGAGAGAGGCAGAGACACAGAATCTGAAGCAGGCTCCAGGCTCTGAGCTGTCAGCACAGAGCCCGGCATGGGGCTCGAACTCATAAACTGTGAGATCATGACCTGAGCCGAAGTTGGACACTTAACCGACTTAGCCACCCATATGCCCCAATTTTATGTTTTTTTTAAGCTTATTTATTTTGAGAGAGAGAGAGAGAGAGAGAGAGAGAGAGAGAGAGAAAAGCACAGGTGGGGGAGGGGCAGAGAGAGAAGGAGAGAGAGTTACAAGCAGGCTCTGCAATGCCAGTGCAGAGCCCGACGCGGGCCTTGAACTAACCGTGAGATCACGACCCGAGCCAAAGTCAGTCGCTCAACCGACTCAGCCACCCGGGCTCCACAAGACTAGTTGATTTTAACGTAGTGAGTACAAAAAGTTCAAAAAGTTGCATGTTCTACGCTGCCATAAATTTAAAAATGGGAAGAAGTCTTTAATGTTCCCTAATAAAGCTTTTTCGGGCCCACCTCATTTCTTTGCACAGACCAGTTTCCATCTGATACCATTTTCCTTCAACCTGAAGAACTTAAAATTTCTTGAAGTCCAGGAAGGAATTCTCTCAGCTTTGGTTTTTAGAAGTCTTTACTTCAATTTTATTTTTGAAAGGTACTTTCATTTGATGTAGAATTCTACACTGACTGACTTACTTTCAACATTTGAAGATGATCCTCTCTCTACTATCTTCTGACTCTCATTGTTTCTGAAGTGTAGTCTGCAATCATTCTTACTTTATTTTTAAGTAATCTCTACGCCCAGTGTGGGGCTCAAACCCCCAACCCTGAGATCAAGAGTCACATGCTCCACTGACTCGGCCAGCCACGTGCCCCAATCATTCTTATCTCTGTTCCTCTGTAAGTAATATGTCTTTCCCCCCCGCCTGCTTTTATTTTTTTTATTTTATTTTTTTATTTTTTTTTTTCAACATTTATTCATCTGCTTGAGGAGGACAGAAGAGAATGAGCGGGGGAGGGCCGAAGGAACGAATGACCAGAATGAGGGAAACAGGCTCCAAGCTCGGCCTGTAATGAAACCCAGGCCCGGGCTGAACTCTGGACCCGAGATGGTGACTTCCTACTGAAAAAGTCGGCCGCTTAACCGACTCGCCATGACGCCTTCCCCCAAAAAGCCTGCCTGTATATCCCTAGGTTTTGAATAGCAATTCAATTATTATGCTTGGCAGTGTGGTTTTCTTTGCGTTGGCTTGGGGGCCACTGTGCTTCCTGAATCTGTGACTTCTAGTTTTTAGTCAATTTGGAAAATTTTTCGGCAACTGTTTTTTCAAATTTTCTTGAAGAATAGCATTTCTTCAGGTATTTCTGCTCCCAGCTTTCCTCTACCTTCTGTACTCCAATTTCCTCACATAAGACCATTTGATATCCCAAAGGTCAACTCATCATGGTCTGATAACTGGTTTCAATCTTTTTTTATCTGTGCTTCAGCATGAATAGTTTATACTGTTGTGCCTTTGATTTCACCAATATTTCCTTCTGCCTCCCAGGCATGGGTCTAGTAATTTTTAATGAACACTGAAGGCTATTAATGTTATGTTGCTGACTATTGGAATTGTATTTTCCTTCTTTAAGGAATGTTGAAATTTGGCAGGCAGCTAAATCACTTTCAGCCCACCTTGGTCCGTTTGAAGCCGGTTTTTAAACTTTGTAGGATGAGTCTTAGAGTAGCTTTTATCCTAGGATTACCCTAGCCTTAATACTAAGGTGTGAGCCTTGTGGGGTACCTCCTGATTGCCTGAGTATTCAGCGAGGTCCTTTCTCCGGGTGGATGAAGCTTGACCCTCCCAGCACTGTGTGAACTCTGTGAGTTG